AAGGGAAAAAAGAATCAATAGTTTCCAAAGGTGGTTTACGAAGAAGAATGAAAGATAGGGGGTAATGGAACAAAATCAGAGTTCTTACTGTATTACTCGGAAGGTAATCTAGACCAGTTTTAATGGTATACAAGGAATTCACCTTTTCGGAGGTTGCTATCATTCTTTCTTTTGTCCTTCAGTAGAAATTTGTGAGAATAATAGTTGGAGACGAGGTACCATGTGGAAATATATTGATGAATGAATAGTCTTCCTACAATTACTCATTCCGAGGACGTGTATTGCGCTGTACTACAATACCTCAAATGTAAGTTTCCCCAACGATTTATCACCTCATCATGGCGAAAAGATGTCCCTGAGTGCCAATCTTCAGTGTTCAAGTGCAGCACAGACACCTCCGTATCCTCTTCACCGCCAATAACGTGTTCTTGTCAGAAACAACTGTATTTCGCCTTGAAACAAACTCGTCCGAAAGATTTCGGGTAAGTTGAGAAGTCTACTGAGCTAGTGTTCTTGAGTCCAAGACCTATCACAATGACCTGCGTTTGATAAACTACCGATCGTATATAAAAAGTGCAGCAAAACAGCTTTCGGTAGAAAAATAAACGACGACATAACTTACGTCTGGCTAACTGCACATGCCCAACACCACATATAAGTGGAATATCACTCACGTCGGACCCTACGTGTTCCTTCTTTCTTGGTCGTATGAATTACATATGATTCAGACACTACGAACATAATGTCCGCCTTCGAAGTCAGACCAACATATCTGTCCACAGTGATAAATGCCCATTTTGTGAAGCAAAGAAAATGTGTTTATTCGCCTTTTTTGATGAGGACCGTACTTCGAGCACTCAAGGATTTTTTCTAGTAGAGAGCGATAGTGTTCTCGTTTGTGCTCGTGGTTACTAAGCTTCCACAAGAAATCACAAAGATGTTAAGTTTGGTTTTCCACTTTCTGATATTTCTAACTCCAAACAAAAGTAAAATCGAACTGAAAGCTCACACAAAACAGTGCATCCTTGTAGCGATATAACAATGCTTCTTCTATAAGCATAACAAGCCCTTTGTTGCTGAAATGTTCCACTGAGCGAAAATTTTCGACGGTTTTCGAAAAACTAGTTTCAGTGCGAAAGCGTTGAACACCGTTAAGCTCATTAGACGAATATCTCGCCAATGAAATGACTTTTTTTATCAAGCCAACATTCTTATCTTTCCAGACGAATCTGGTAGCACTTGCCGATGTTGGAGGAATGAGTGGCTTCGTTAGCCAGGTGCATGGGATCGGATTAACGACGTGTGTCTTGCACAGCATCTCTAAACCACTGTGCTGCATACGCCATTACTTCTCATGGATGACTTCGTGGACGATTTATACATACCCTTCTCATTAGCAATAGTATTTGTGCTTCCCTGTTGGCGTAAAAGGCAATCAGTTACCGCAAGACTTACGCTGGGCGCCATTCTGGTGTTTCCACGCAATGATGCTCCCGCTTTCTCTGCCTGCTCTTCGACAATAACGATCTTTACGGGACTCCAGCATAAGGATTCAAATCAAACGAACAAACTCGTTCGAAAAAGAGTTTCGTTTTGCAAGATATTAAGTGCACAGAATAATTATAAGCGCGAGGGTTAGTGGTTAGGAACGCTGTTCAACAATACACGCACAGTCCCTGGTTCGAGTTCATCCATGGCGAACCGTGCCTCCTATCCATTCGAGTTTGACAAATTGGTTATAGAGTTGATTGAGGAAAGCTCTCCGATCCTAATCCAAAAAGACTAGAGAATATATGTGCTGGAAACCTTGGAGCGTTCTAGTAAAGGTACTCCAGCATTCTAAAGAGAATTAACTCGGTAGGTATTCAGTGGTATTCGTGAAGAAGGGAATGTCCTTAAGGAGCAGCCGAACCCACATGCAAATCCGCTGAAGGAAAGAAGTGTTGTGATCAACACAATATGTGAAGTCTGGTCATACAAAAAAATATGATAGCCTTTCTTGACCGATGCTGACAGAAAATGTGTTGAATAACTTATAAAATAAACATAAAAAGTACCACAAAACGTTTGTGCAGCTGCGAAGAAGTAGAATCACATACAACTCCTATCGGCTAACCTACTCCGAAGATGAGCTACATCACGAAGAAGTCTCAGAAATCTTGTCACACGTACATAAACCACTAAGCATAAGGTCTGACGAATTTGAACAAATGACCGACTTATCCATTTTTCTATTAGAAAACGCTGCATTGTGTAAACAAATGGAATCTCCAATGTCCAGTGCCAACGCTACATGAACGATGATTCATTAAGTTTTCTATATGATTCGCAATTAACGAACACAAGGCCAACTATATCCAACTGAGCTGAGGAATTTGTGTTCTGGTTATTTCTATTTAATTCAGTCTTATCGACATCCTTTGCCAGTAGAGTCAAGTGGGTAAAATATTGTACTATAACTAGATATTTGTGCTTCTGAGACCCTAATAACACTAATCAATGAAGGATGAACTTCACTAATGAAAAAAGGGCGATTCTTCATAATTCTGATGGACACCACCCTTTCCGGATATGCATGAACTGATGCAGAAAACGACTGACCGCAATTACAACTATAACTTTTCACGAGAATATGAACAAATAGATCCAGATAAAAAGGACAAAAGCAAACGCGTTTGGCGCTAACCTATCCGATGCCCTATGCACTCGTCTCCAATAAAGACTGTACATTTCACTAAATGAATATAATATCCTCTACAGAATGACTCGTACCAATGTACTACGCCAGTGTTTTATTCTCCCAGACAAGTAAAATATTAATTTGACAATCCCGAAAGGATGGAGCGGTTGGTTTGCTCGACGCACGGCTCCAACCAACCATCAAGTATGCATTGCTGGATGTCTCTAAGTACAACGATATGTCGTAAAACACCCAAAAACTCTGATGCTCACCATTCTTAACCAAGCTTAACCACATGCAGCACAGGTGGCAATACAAAAGTCATAGTGTAGTCGACACAATTTCGGCAATACATACATACAAAAAAAATCCCGTTTATGTTGTCTTTTATAGGCGATGAAGTAAGCGTAGCTATAAAACGATGCTTAAGAAGGGCAGATCTAGAGGAATCGGTAGCGATAGTTGAAATAGCATCGGCTACTCTACGGCGCCAATTAGTTCGCAACCGACTGTATAACTGTCTATGTGAAACAACAAATCGCGTAATTTGCCCTTACGGCAGGGACGGTGATTGCATGAGTTCAGGTACGATATACCTGATCTCGTGTAACAATTGCGGAGATGAATATATTGGCGAAACGGGGAGACCTTTGTGTGTCCGTATAACACCTAGATGGCAAACGAAAACTAAGACGAAGCACCCCACTAGGCACTCATGGGATACAAAAGCATACCGGAGACGATTTTGAAGTAAAAGTCAATATCCTTGCACAGGAGTCCAAAACACCAGCGCGAAAACTCCTTGAGGCTTTTTGGATCAATGCCAAAAACCCTACAATGAATAGCAGGGACGAATGCCCGGAGATCATACGCGACCTGATCCCGTACGTTCGCATCAATTTCTCGTGTGGGATGGTGCAGTCATCAACCATATGCGACTATAATCAGCTGTTCTAAACTTCCTCATTGGAAGTCACGAAAAAGCGATGGGTTTTTTCGGGATGTTGTTGGTCATGTAATTACCAAAGAGTCTTTCGTCTTTGTGTAAGTGTTATTGAAGCGTTTGGCCTAGTAGATTGTATGTCAGTATACCCTTCCAGGCTCTGAAGAAGGCGATACTGCCGAAACGTCAGCTAGCGTTGTATTGTATTGTGTGTTTCTCTGTGGAAGTGAATGTATGCTGTTTAAAAACCTCGCGATTGCTGAACAAGAAAACGACAAATTCATATTCCAATGCCGAGGTTAATAGAAAGTCGATCCTGGGAGCAATACATACTATTTAAATGCCGTGGAAAACAATTCTGGAGAAATCTTTGAAAAGATAAATAATGGGTAGAGTGTTTGCTCTCCAGCTTTGTAACCATTATTTCCAATGTAAGGGCGCATGTGGCGCAATGGTCCGAGGCGCCTTGCAACACACATGTGCAATCAATTTCCGCGCCCATGGCCCACCAAGAATTCCATCCCGCCGCAGTCGGCAAATTCGTACCAGAGTTGTCTGGGTGGGTAGCAGCACTGGCTCGATGCATTGATAGGCCACCGCGAGTCATTGTAAACGCCAGATATGAATTCAATCACCACCAAACGATGCTTAATGAAGTCGAATGCATGGTGCATCCTTCAGGGATTGATCAACGCCGAGAGTTTTTATTTCCAATGTGTACCTATTATTTCGTTAAAGAAGAAGTTGCAAAGAGGAAAGAAAGAATAAAAGAAATCTTTAACTTCTATGATGTCTGACCGACAACCAATTTGTTGGAGTTCGAAAATTTCAGCATGGTTGTTTTCTGAACAGAAATTATTGGTAAGTTGGGAACAATAGAGATACCGATATGTACTACTTCAGCAAGACAGAAAACCCTCCCAAACCCAAAGACTTGTAACTTTTCTGAAATTCTGCACATCAAAGACTAGGACAAGGCACCGCTTCTCAGATGGGTTCGGAATGGAGTGGCCTTGGTGCCGAATAGAAGACAGCAAAGCGCACCGAGGAGATATAAAGCACAAAGAATAGCGACAGCTCTAGACCAAACCTGCTAGGAGAACTAAAATTCCAAATTAAAGGAGAACTGTGAGAGTCTGAGTCGCATCTCGAGTGACTTTGTTTCAATATTCCTTTATTTGTTACCCTATTTACCAGAGCACATACCAATAGCTCCATGTTCTTTTTAGTAAATGAAGAATTTTTGCTTTCACGTCGAATTTAAAAAATTAGAGCTTTCCGAATTTGGGTATTAAAAATATTGCTTATTGTTATTCGTTGTTCAACACTGACTGGACAAAAGATACAGCGCACAACAAAACAATGTTCTCGTTTGGTTCATGGTGAGTGAGTATTCAACAGCTCGCAGAAATGTAGTTCTACACGTACCGGTCGGCAAGGTGGTTCATCGAGTCCGACAGGCTCCAGGCTCGATTCGGCGAGGCCGTGAACAGTCCGTAGGTGGCCGGGTGGTGGACGGCGTGCACTCCGTTGCCTAGCGGTGTCGCGCCGCACAGCTCGACGCTCTGCTGGGATCCGCGGCCGCGGAACGCCGCGCTCAGGCGCCGCTTCAGCTTCTTCATCTGTCGTCAGAGGAACTGACAACGAGAAGTGCCTGTCTGGAATCATAATCAAATGTGGCGATCATAAACGACAGAACAATGAGAAGAGCAATATTCACGGCGATAAACACAATGTACGATTTGAAGAACCGTAGCGATGAATTCCAATTCTCCTTCACATTGATCGATTTCAAATTTGTGTTAAAGGTCAATTGTAGCTAACCAGTAGAGTCAACATATCTGAATACATCAAAACATGAAGAAGGAATGACGAGGATCCTGATCACCGTTTCGATCACAAGAGTTCGATTCAATATATACAGCGATTTTCTTTCTAACAATGAAAATGAAGAATTCTTGGAAAATAACCAACTGCGGAACCCAACCAGTAATTACGTCTTTTGGGACAAAAACATGACGCCATTGACGAAAACGCTTTGAAGGTAAGGTGTAAACATTTTAAAGAGATCGATACCCCGCTAACAATAAACTTTTATGTTAAAAGCTATTACGATCTGTCGTATATCCAGCGAATGACGAAAAGACTCGTTCAGTTCACAATTCAAGGCGAATCCTTGTTTTTGTAGTTGATCCTCGAAAGGAAGTCTCTAATATAACAGTTCAAATTACTACTAATATTAAGTAAACACATTACATTTCAATACTAACAGTGGAAACGGATAGAACCGAGATGAGAAATCACTTGCACTGAGTCGAAGATTGTTGAGAGCAGTGATCAATGAGTGGTTTCGCCTTTGCATAACATTACACCTTGCATGACACCACAAAGCTGGAATATCATCGCTGGATAAACAGCGTAAATCATAGTCAAGTCGACAGGAAAGAGCACTGACAAATTTCATTTCCTCAGTAGTCCAATAATTTTAGAGCACTCTTTCAATCGAACATCAGTGACATCACGAAATTAGCAAAATGTCCAGCCTGGTTCAAACTTTTTCGCAGTTATTAGCTGCAAATGAATTTCTAGTTAGGATACGCCGGAGATCCTAGAAATGGAGCTTCGAACGTTCCAGATTCCTAATACTTTCCTCTTGACCAGATACGAGGCTGCTAGCATGATTTATTCTATACTGACTGAGGTTCGGTGGTTTCGCATTCTTCTGAGCTTTGAAAGGTCAAGTTGACACACAACCCATTCAGTTAAACACGTTCATAACTTCAGCAGAAAAAGAGCACCGAATTGTACTCACCGAAAAAATGCCCTAGTTTCGTTTGAGATCAGAAGAGCAAATTCGTCGAAGTCGTTGGCGGGAAGAACAAATTCCAGCCTGTAGGTGGTGGTGACCGCTACGGCATGAGACTGTTCCGCACAAACGGAAAAAGCGTCTGTCGGCGCCGCAATTGCGAATGCCGACGCAACCGTCAACGACCGGCCCTCGCGCTCCGCTCAGTTCAACAACGACCGAACGAATGGCCTCATTTACCATATTGATGAACGTTCCCATTTTTCTCAGACGATCTTCTTTTCATGCATAAAATGAAGACCTTTCAAAACTTTGTCGCAAAAGTATTATACGAATAATAAACTGGCGGTGTAGTAGTAGTCGACAGACGTCTAAACTCTGTGTAGAGTCCTGTTTCATCACCGCACCAAGCAAAACGAGATCTTCACCTGAGGAATACGTGGACAGTGGGCTGTTCAATATCAGCGTAACAATTGCCCAAGCAGTACTCCTATGTAAAATATATCAGGAATCACATATAAATAGAATGAATCACTCTAGCGATCGTTGCTGCTCGTACTCCAGTCTAGGTATATTTTAAATATATTTTATTTGTAAAAGAGTCAAATTCTAATCGATTAGTTGATAAAATTTGTTTCTTTTATTTTGTAAATACTTTTGCATCACTTCTTTCTTGGTAATATTTCTGTTAATTTCGAACAACACAATAGCAGATGAACCAAATTGGAACGTATAAATCTACACCACAGTCATTAGCCACTAAAAGAATCAACATCAGTTGCTTATTCCTTTACTCTGCTTACTTTCACTTGCTTTTCCTCAAAGGATATAACTTCAGATTTATAAAGTGAATCCACAGAACGATTTACGCGCACAAGAGACTCCCAAGGTCGTGCACACCGCAAACGACGCTTGGAATGCAGTGGAGAAACGAGACGATCTGGAAAAAGGGCACATTTCGGTGGCGAGAAGATGCATACGTCGTCGTTCGCGAATCGCTCCACTAAGTCTTGAGAGCAAAAAGATCGTGATATCAACTGATAAGCAGCGATTAGTTCCATTTACAAATGGATGCCGAAGAAGAACGAATTTGTTGTCGGCAAGCACGGCTTAGCGGATCGGAAAACCTCAATGCACAAAGAGAAGTCCAATGAAGTAAACCCGACTGCGAAGGCGTTGCCCCCTCCCTACGATCGTTTTTAAGAGTCTTGTATTTGTCAATTCATTTCGTAAATAGGCCGTTGGAACCACTTGACAGCAGCGGATCAGATTATGTAAATCGTGCGACAGACGGTGATGAGGTCAACGTCGAGAAGCAGCTCGATGAGTGCGATGTCTTCCCGGAGTTCCCGGACTATTCACTATCATGACACAAAATATTTGAATTGTCGACGATTTCTAGCACAGGAACGCTTCAGCTGCAAAACACTTTAGAAGTGGAAACAATTCGTGAGAGACTGTGAGGTGTTTGGAAAAAAAGAAAACAATTAAGAATACAGTACACGTCCGCGAATTTTCCCGATTTGATGAACAATCGATGATACAACCCGAGGCATTAGTGTGGCATGTTTCAAGATGAAACAGGACTCCATGGAACCGTTTTTAGCCTCAAGAGTTCCTTGCTTCAATCAACTTTAATCACTGTAATATATATGTATATATATATATATATATACATATATACATATATATATATATAACACTTCTTGTTTCTACTACGACAAATGAACTAAAGAGAATCTGACACTCTTTGATATCGTGTTTCTCACGAATGAATCGGTTGAACCCAAAACCATTACGAAAGCCTTTTTTCCAAGAACCACTTGATATTTTAAGCTTATGTGAGAAGGACGAATTGGTAAAAATGCAGGAAATCGTGTATGGTGCTCAGTAGAGTTCAGAGTCTTCTCTGTATGGTGGCAACTGAAGTAAAATAAAGAACCATCGGAAGGATCCTATCGGAGGCGTTGCTAGCAAATCAAACAGAATCATTACGTGACAACATTAGGTAAAGCACATTTGAGGGTGACGAAATATGAAATATGCAAGGCTTCCATGAGGAATAAAGTAGTTCACACAAGACCTGAGAGAAATCGGGTGCGTGGAAAGATAGAAAACGTCCTATAAATCTGAATCACCACTAATTTACATATTTGTTCAACTGGCGAGAAAAACCCAACGCTTTGCCAAACGAGTCCAGGCCCTCGCCATATTATGTACAGTTCTCATCAGCATTCATAATGAAAACGGACAAGTTGGAACGATGAAGAGGGGTATATGGAAGACGATAGTGGACACGTTGAGTCAGCAACGACGCAGTGCTCTATCGTCGAACCGCCTCAACAATCACCACGCACTGTCAGCTTCCCACGCCTGGCGACAGAATCCGATCGGCGCCCGCTCGCTACTGGTCAACTTGAAACCGATTTTGGTGAGATCAAAACCGATTTCTAGGTCAAAGCATGTTCGTATGTGATCCGTAACAAGACGAAATAGATGAATAACAACCACAACGATGCTGAGATAATTGCAAAACTCCGAGCCGCAGGTGTCTGCGGTGGGGAACGAACACGCTATTAACCTTTCCTGGAGCTAACGAGCTAAATGAATAACTATTATATTTCTATGCACATGTTTTATTTATACAAAACAGAGAAGATTATGGGTCCAAGAATAAGCAAACGTTCGCGTGAAGGATCGAAAACAATAAAAACACTGATAAAGCATTTTAGAGAGTGACGAAAGATGAACTATGAAAGACTTCCAAGAGGAATGAAATAAATGAAAGAGTAATCTAGGAAGCAATCACAGAAGCACCATATAGTGTCCGTGAGTACCCACATCGATCCTGAGCTGAATTCTCTCAAGAAACTCTATCATTGGACGATTCGAAGAAAGCGCATGCACACATCCCTTTTCTAATTGTTTTAGTCTTTAAACTATCTTATCGGTATTTATACACTAAAGAACAGATGAAAAATTCGCATTTGCAGAACAATGGAAGCAACTGACGCTGATAATTAGAAACTACGTCAAAGCTCCCATTGAGCTTTTCTTATAAGAAGTCTCGAGCCGATTGGTCTCCAGGCATCTTCAGGGGTTAAAGGCACTGACAGAGTGTTAAATGGACCAAACCTAAAAACGACAAAGGATGGGTCTTCTGTCTCTGCTGTGCACGAATGACTTGGGGTTTCTTTAAACAGATGATCATATACATACATAGGTAGTCTATAGTGTGAGTTATCTTCAACGTCGATTTCGTCAAATGAGAGCAAATAAGTGGCATTTAGGTAAACTACAATAAGTAGTGGTTCGCAGTAGATGAATTGCAGGTCTGCTTCACAGCAGTAAAGAAAACTATATCCCTCATTCTCTCGCCAAAAAGCCACAAATTGAAGGTCTGATAAAAAGAATATGGCGTGCTACGTCGATCGGGCGGAGTCCAGTCGATAGGCGACAGGCTGTGCTACGCGCTTGAGTCGCTCGATTAACGGGATTAAGGGTAGTAAAGGTGATCAAGGCATGGGAATAGACAGAGTATGACCGCTGGTTCACAACGTCGTCATTATTTTTGAAAGAACAAATAACAAAATTTAGCCCACTGTATTTGGATTTCTTGTATGAGCATTAGAATAAACGAGCAGCCATGAGAAAACTTAGAAAAGGGCCATCACATTCCGAAAAAAGTGAAAAATATCAATACTTGTTAAGGCAAACATTTTGGCGCAATATTATGATTCCAACAGAGAAAGAGCTTTCTATCGAGAATTCGGATTAAGGCACACAGCTGATAACGAACGAGCTGCGATACGAACGCGCTTGGTGAACAGGTGCAGCCAGAATGACGAAAACAAATGAACCG